AGCACGCCCGCAGCACAGTACATCTAAATCTCCCTGTATCCAGGTGGGCTCTGCCTGCTCTCCCCTGCCAGCCAGAACCCCTCCTCCCAGCTGGGCATCCGATATCACCGGTCCCAACAGCTCCTCCCCTGTCCTTTGTCTTCTGTCCCAGGTAAACAGGTCGCCTGGGACTCCTCTCCTCTCTTCTGTCCTCTGGCCCCTCTGGCTGGAACCGGCTGGTCTGGTCACCGGCGTCCTCTCTTCCCAGCCCATTGTCCTCCCACTGGCCACAACCGGCTGTGACTCCTGAGCTGGGCTTTCTGGTCACCAGTCACTGGGGTATCTGTTAGAACCCTCAACCCTCCCCCTTCCCTGGTTCTGGTCACAGAGACAGCGAGCAGCAAAAGACCAGACGTCCAAAGCGCAGCCAATGTGATGTTTAGTGGGGTTAGTTTCCAAGCAAGGATATTCCAAAGCCCTTCACACCAGTTGGGCTTTTCTCCCTTCACTGATACAGTCTGTTCCCCAATGTCCCCTTTCCGGCTCTGACGCCGCAGAGCCTTGCCTGTGTCCGTTCCCCATTCCCTATATTCTGTTCCCGTTCCTGCCCCCTCCCTGTTAGCAAACGTGATTCCGGTTTTGCTTCCTACTTCCTGTTTGACCCCAGTTTATATCTATACCTTAGCCAATCATTTTACTGAAATTTAGCCAACTGCTCCTAACATATTCTAACATAATTCTCTAACCATTTTACTAAAATTTAACTGACCAATACTAACCACCTCGTTAAACCAGTAACACCCAGGGAACCTGAGTCCCACCCCCTCTGCATGAAAACCATTGAAAAAAACAAGGAAAAAAAAAGAAATCCCCCCACTACATCACAGCACCCCTGGAGGTAAAACACCCCGGTGCTGAGCTCCACCGAGCCTGAGGCCCGAGTGCGAGCGGAATGAGGAACTGCGCCGGGGCTGCAGCCCCAGGAAGCCCGTGATGCGCTCAGCCCCTTTCCTCCCATCCCTGCAATCTCGAGGCCAAATCCACCATGGTCAGAGTAAAGCCATGCAAAGCAATCCACACCCCCTCCTGCAGCTGCCCAGCCCCCCACCATCACCTCCCAGCCCCACATGGGAGCTGCCCAGTCCGGGGACCAGCTGAGAATGGGGGAATCTCAGGAGGTGTCAAGAGGTTTCCAGGCTGCCCTGACCTTTTCCAACAGGCCCGTCTAGCCTCCCTGGAGCAGCAGCTCAGAGCAGAGGAGGGCACCCCCCACACACAGTGCCCTCCACAGAGCGACCCTCTCCCATGGAGAGATTCCTTCCTGACCTGGCAGGGCCCAGCACTCGCCCTGGAGCATGAGGGTGGAGGGACCTGGCCAACCTCCTTCTCAGGTAGTGTCGCTGTAGATGCTGTTTGTAGCCAAGTAGCGTGAGACAGAGACTGAACAGAGGGGTGGGAGGTTGTGGTTTCTGGCCCCCGTAATCGGACAGGGGAGGGATAAATTTAGATCCTAAGTTGCTAAAGCAGCAGACGAAAAATCCGTGAAAAGGGGAAGTGTGTCCAGAGCCGGCGCTCGCTTCCTGTTTCTGCTACTGCCAGTGAAACTCACCGAAAACCTGACTCCACAGCGGCGACCCTGTAATATACTCTGGTTTTGGGATGGAAGTGGGCTCTAGTGGTAAGAGCAGGAGGGTCCCCCCCCCCTGCCATAGATACCAACTTCTACTGTTGCCGTTGGGTGCTCGACCCCTGTCTGCTCATGGCCCCACCCCGACTCCACCCCTCCCCCTCCCGCCCCCATTCCAACCCCTTCCCCAAAGTCTCCACCCCAACTCCACCCCCTCTCTGCCCCTATTCTGACTCCTTCCCCAAAGCCCCGCCCCGTCCCCGCCTCTTCCCCGCCTCCTCCCCTGAGTGCGCCATGTTCCAGCTCCTCACCGCTCCCTCCCGGAGCATGCTACAGCTGTCCATGTGTATGTGACAAATTTGCCTCCTTGCAGTTAAGTAGAATAATTTTATTTCAGCACCCACTAATTTTTCCCTGTGGGTGCTCCAGCCCCTGAGCACCTATCATAAATCTAAAGGGAAGGGTAACAACCTTTATGTATGCAGTAACATCACATCCCTCTTGGCCAGAGGTACAGAATCACTTACCTGTAAGGGGTTAATCAGTTCAAGTAATCTAGTTGGCACCTGACCAGAAGGACCAATGGGGAAAGAAGATACTTTCAAATCGGGGGGGGGGGGGAGGAGGCTTTGTTTGTTCTCTTGTGTGTGTGTGTTCGCTCTTGAGAGAAAGAGTGGGACCAAGCAGGTAACCCAGCTCCTACTGAAATGCTACATCTAAAATTACAGAAATTGTCAGTAATAACAAGGAAATGTGTTAGATTATCTTTTGTTTTAGCTTGTGAATTTTCCCTATGCCAAGAGGGAGGTTTATTCCTGTTTTGTAACTTTGAAGTTGAGCCTAGAGGGGAAATCCTCTATGTTTTAAGTCTTTTTATTACCCTCTAAAATTACCTTCCATCCTGATTTTACAGAGGTGCTTCTTTTATTTATTTTTATAATAAAGTTCTTCTTTTAAGAACCTGATTGGTTTTTAGTGTCCTAAAAACCCAAGGATCTGGTCTGTGCTCACTTTGTTAACCTATCGGTTGGCATATTATTCTCAAGCCACCCCAGGAAAGGGGGTGAAGGGATTTGGGGGGATATTTTGGGGGGGGAACAGGGCTCCAAGTGACCCCTCCCTGAATGTTTGTTTAAATCACTTGGTGGTGTCAGCAATACCATCCAAGGACAAGGAATGGAATTTGTGCCTTGGGGAAGTTTTTAACCTAAGCTGGTGGAATATAAGTTTAGGGGGTCTTTCATGTGGGTCCTTACATCTGTACCCCAGAGTTCAGAGTGGGGAGAGAACCCTGACAGGGCCTATGCACCCCACCCCTCCCCACAACAATCCCATCTCCCCCAGGTGTGACACACTCTCCTGGCGCTAGGACAGGGGGGCTGGGGGCTGTCCAGGGGGGCTGATTTGTGGTTCTGTGTTTATTACAAATCTGGAGGTAAACAGGATGCAAAATAACATCAAAGCTGCCTTGATGCGTCCACTCCCCTTCCCAGTGCTGAGCCCACACATGTGTCTGGGTGGGACAGCGGGACGCAGCTTGATGGGACGGGGTTGCAGCATGGGGAGGGCAGCGTCCCCCATATATCTTCCCTAGAAGCAGAGTTCTCTGGGGCTGGTGCTGCAGTGGCATGAGTCTGTTGCCCCCTCGGGCTGGTGCTCCATGGCTGCGGGGGACTCTCACTGCGGGCCCCCCGGCTCACGTTGATCATGTCATACACGCGGGGTTGCAGCGTCTGGCGGTCCAGCTCCGCGTAGATGCCGGGGTCAGGCTCCTTGGGGTAGGAGGGGAGAGAGTCACTTGTATGTGTGTGTGTGTGCGTGCGTACGCATGCACCAAACATCCCCCCCCCACCCACACACACAGAGCAGGGCCCATCCCCTCCAGCAGGGAGCGACAGGGACACACACACACACCCTGAAATCCCACCCGGCGATCCCATAAGCCCATCCCAGCAGCCCAACCCCCACCATAAACCACAGAGTGTGCCAGGAAAGGTGAGGGGGCTATGAGGGGGCTGCTGGGCCCATGCAGGTTAGGGTTTGGGGTCAGGCCCCATGGGGGAACAGGGGACACTTACCAGGGTCTGCAGCTCTTTCCCTTCGTCGATGGAGGCGTCTGCAGAAGAGAGACACCCACTGAGCTGCACCCCCGGCCGGCCCAGAGCAGAACCCCACACCCAGCTCTGACCCCTCTGTCCAGCCAGGGGGCTCAGAGCCCGGCACAGCCACCCCTCCCCCTCCCCACAGCATGGGCCAGGGTCATTAGCTCTGTGTTACAGAGAGGACAAAGATGGCGGCAGAATCTAGGGGGTTACGGTGGGGCAGGAAGGGGGCTCAGAGCCAGGACTCCTGGGTTCTCACCCCGGCTCTGGGAAGGAATGGGGTCTAGTGGTTAGAGCAGGAGGCTGGGGGCCAGGAGTGGATGGGGATTCCCCACAGGTCACCGACTGGCAAGATCTGATGGAGAAGTGAAGGGGCGGGACACAAAAGTCCTAGGCCTTGAGGGGAGCATGGGGGGCCCACAGAGGCAGACACTGAACTAGAGGGGGAGGGGAGCCCCCAAAAGCCCTTCCCTTCCCCAGCTGTCTTGCCCTACCCCGGTACCCCTTGTGTGTGTTAGTCACAGATGGGGTCTTCCTGAGCCAGGGTTTTCAACACCCCAAAATGGCTGGCATTAAAAGAGAGAAAATCCCTTTGTAAATGTCATAGCCCCCCCTCCCGTAGGGAGATTCCACAACACACACAGAGAGCCCCGCATTGTGCCTCATATTGAACCCTGTTCCCTAACCATCACCCCCCACCACAACCAATAGACCCCACTTCCCTCCCAGACCAAGGAACAATCCAGTTGTCCTGGCTCCCAGCCCCCCGATCTAACCATTAGATCCCACTCGCCTCCCTGAGCCGGGGAGAGAACCCAGAAGTCCTGTGTCCTGGGGCAGGTAGATCGGGGGTGGGGAGTGGAGCTGGGGTCTCACCTGCTCTGTCTCGGGGCTGGTCCTTTCCCCACAGAGACACAAAGTAGAATCGTCCATGAGTCGACTCAGATCCCGTGTACGAGCCCTGCCCCTCAGCCCTACAGGGGAGTCCCCCCCCACTGCTCTGCCAGGAGGAGCCCCACCCCCTCCAGCTGCTGAGCCTGGATACCTTAGAGACAGGTCCCTGCCCCTGTAGCACAGCGCCCCCTGCTGAGCCCCCACCCTCTGCAGCACAGCGCCCCCTAGTGCTGCCCAGGGGCTTTGGGGCCAGCTCTCACTGGCAGGGGAGAGCGCCCCCTGCTGGGCCCCTGACCCACCCCCAGGTTTCCTGGCCTGTCTCCCATCTAAACCCTGACCTCTTCCCAGCCCGGCTTAGCAGCGGGTTTAACGCTTCCCTCGCTGGGCGGGGAACTTACTTCCTCGGGTTCTTCTGTAGCAGACGAAGGCCAGGAGGAGGAGCAGGAGGAGGAGGCCGACGGCTGCTGCGCTCACCCCGGCAATGATGTTGTGGGTCAGATCCGGTGCTGCGCTTGGTTCTGATCCCCCTGGGAAGCAGCAGCAGGCAGTGAGCGGCTGGTTCGTTACCTGCTGCCCCAGCCCCTCCCCCTCGAGGACCAGGGACCCACAGCAGAACATTCTATGGGGCTAGTGAGGGAGCAGGAGCAGAGGGGATTCTGGGTAATAGTGGTCAGGGGGTTCACTCCCAATGGCAGAGGGCTGTACTGGGGTGGGGGCAGGATGTGTGTGGGGGGATGTACCTCAGGCCCCATGCTTGTGAAGCCAGCTGGGCCCAGATCCTACAGCAAACCCCCACTCAGGTCCTACCCCGTCCTGGGAATTTCTCAGCAGCTTCAGCTCACTTCTGCATAGGAATCATATGGGTGGGGGGATGGCAGTGGAGGGGGCTTCTGGCCGGGGAGGGCACTTTGAGATCATTGAGAGAACCATGCCCTGCTGAAGTAATCAGCAGAGGAAGACGTAACGGTGCTGTCATCACAGCAGCCATCATTAGGTTCCAGAGTCAACGACATGTCACTCTGAATCAGTGGGTTCAAGTGTTAACACCATGTCTATCTGGACGGAGAGGTTCCAGGGGGTGACAAAGTGGGGGATTTTCTTGTTTTTTCCTTGGTTTTCCAATGGTTTGCATGCAGAAGGAGTGGGACTCAGTTTCTCTGGGTGTTACTGGTTTAACGAGGTGAGAGGAGAGAGAGTTTATTGTTACAGAGGACCGGAGAGGGAACTTGGGACTCCAGCCAATGCCCTGGAGGATGGATACCCACCCCAGCGACTGGTGAGCTGACAACCCAGGGCCTGCCGGCTCTGGCCAGTGGGAGGACAATGGGCTGTAAAAAGAGGACCCCAGTGACTTAACCAGCTGGTTCCAGCCAGAAGGGGACAGAGGACAGAAGAGATGAGGGGAGGCCCAGGGGACCCAGTTTACCTGGAGAGAAGACAATGGACAGAGGCGGGGTCTGGGGCCGGGAATCTCAGATGCCAAGCTGGGAAGCAGGGGAGCTCCGGGACTGGAGAGGGGGAGCAGGCAGAGCCCACCTGGATGCAGGGAGACTGGGATGTGCTGTGCTGAGGGAGGCCAGGCCTGAGGCCCTGAGAGTTTCCTGTGCTGTGTTCAACTCTCAATAAATCCTCCTGTTTTACACTGGCTGAGAATCGCTCCGGGCTAGAGAACAGGGAGGCATTATTCCCTCTGGGAGTGTAGGCCCCGGGTGATCCAGAGCGAGTGGACTCCCTGAGGGGACCCACGGCAGAGACAGACGTGCTAAGCCTCAGAGAGGTGCGGCTCCAGGAGGTGGAGGGGCTTAACCCCGGGAGAGAGTGGATCCCCGAGAAGGGCTGTCTCACTGAAAGGGGCACCCCCCATGGACCGCACGGGGCCAAGAGTGGGCACTATCTGTGAGTCGGTGACAAGGGGTTCCTCACAGGGACTGTGGGGAGATGAGAGAGCACAGGCCTGTGAGTCCGTGACCACTGGGGAACAGTGTGGAGATGGCCTATAACCATCTCCTAAAGAAGGACATTGCAGAGCTGTGCAGAGAGACAGCTGCGCGTTGGAAAGCTCACCAAAGCACAGCTGATTGCTCAGTTGGAAGAGGACGATCGCTCTAAGCTGGTTCCTGACCAAGCTGGAGCTGCGAGAGATGCTGGGAGCAGCCGGGCGACCCCTAGACCCATGTCCCTGACCAGCAGGGGGTCTCCACCCGGCTCCCCGTGGATGGATCTGAGATGGATGGAATTGGAGCGGAGATTGAAGGAGGCAGAGGACCGTGAGAGACAGGGAAGGCAGGAGGCAGAACAGCAGGAGATGAGCTGGCGATGGCGGAGCTGAGAGGCAGAGGGACCCGTCCAGAGGTGAGCGGGGATGGACCCTGGGGTGCCAATGCCGCAGGGAACCTCGACACTAAATTGCTGCCGCAGGTTAAGGACGGGGGAGATAGAGGTGCCTGTCTCACAGCCTCTGGGAAGGCTGGCAATTGGAACCAGGCTGACCCTGCAGAAAGGGTCCAGCGTCTAGCCCCCTTTCTGGGTCCCAAGGCCATAGAGCTGTTTAGCCAGATGGGTGGGGTGTCAGACTGCCTCCCTCTCCGGACCCCCAGTGGGCGTGGAAGGTGGTGGCCAGTGGGGAGAAATTCCTGGGGTGGCGAGATCCTGGGACAGAGAGACCTGTTGTCAGGCCCCAGCTCGTGTAGCAATATTCATTATTAGGATCCAGAGTTAATAGCGTCACACGGAATTGGTAGGTTACAGAGTTTACACGGTGTCTATCTGGGTTGGTAGGTTCCAGGGTTGACACCCCGCTGGGCAGCAACCCTGTGAAGGGGGAGCCCTGCTTCTGAGCCATTCCCCCAGGATGTCTGCAGACTCAGGCAGACAGACGGGATTATTATCCCCGTCTCTCCGTCCCCGGCCCTGTTCTCCCAGGGAGATACGCAACAAGCTGTGCCCCGCACATGTGGCTTTGTGGTGCCGGTGGGCAGCACAGGACCCTCGTTTGTGGGGCCCCTGTGTTGGGGGGAAACTCTCCTGGGCCCTGCCCCCACCAAGCCAATCTGGCATCTGTCTAGTGACACTCCACCCCACCTACAGGCCAGTGGCATTTTATCTCCATCAGCTGGGGAAGGAGAAATCAGTTCAGTGGGGAATGATCACAAGTGAATCAGAGTTCGCTGGTGTAGCAGGAACTGCTGGGTAGGGTCACACTGGGAACTATTGCTGAGCTCGCCTGGACAGTAACTGCCATTGGCTGAATTCAACCCACTTCCTGGGCAACAATTTACATTCCTGGAGCACCAGGATCTGGAGTTAGAACGTCCAAGGCACTAGGCCAGAACCCACCGCTCTACGGTCCCTTCGCGGCTTCTCTGTTCTTAGGCTGGTTTGTTGTGTCTGGAGCCATCCCCTTGCGCCGTCTCTGTTTGCTGCTCTGAGTTCCAGCTCAGATATCTGCAGCTATTTCTCCAGGCGATGGGTCGGCTTCTCAATCGAACAACTGTCCCTCCGCTGCTTTATCTAGAGTCCCTTTGCTCTCTGGCTATTTTTCCCTTCCTCTTGCTGCGCCTGGAGGTGCTGGGCGGACGTTTTGTCCGTACTATTTGCTTTACTTTCGCTACAGCTCACTTCCTCCTCATTTCGTCAGTCTGTTTCTCTTTGCTCACAGCTGGTTTCCATCACGTTTCATTCATGCTTTACTTCTCCTGCGGTTTTCTAACAATTTCTCAGGTAACTTAGAGACTCCTTTTTTCTTTGTGTTTCACTGCCCGGTTCTTCCTGTAACTTTCCCCCTCATGCCTCTGTCTGTCCTCTGTCTGCCTCCTCCTGTTCCTGCCATCTCTGTCCCTTCTCAACAGGACTTTCTCCCTGCCAGCTCTGTGCCTGGCCCCTTCGATGACACAACTTGGCCACCGGGTCCCTTTCCACTGGCTCCCGCTCGCTGGGTCCCTGCATTTCTGGTGCCGGTTGTTACCTCGCTGGCGGCTGGTGTCTCTCCCGGCGCTGGGCAGCCTCCCTCCAAACTCTACCAGTCATTTCCACCAGGAGCACGGGGGGCGGAGGGCGGAACTGCTGCCTGCTGCCCCCGCTGTTTTCTTTCTCTCCCCAGCACAAAAAAATCCCGCCCCAGGCTCGAGCTCCCCCCACTTCCACTGCCCGGGAATCCTTGGGCCTGGAGCCTCCAGCAGCTGCTGCTGCCCCTTGCTGGGGAACCCACCAGTGATTCTGTCCCTGCCCCCCAGCCGGGCGTCCCCTCTGCTGGGCCCAGGGCTCAGGGCAGAGTCTGGCTCTGAGCGCCCCATTGGTGCAGAGACCCCCTGATCAAAGGTGTGCACAGGAATAAAAATGTGGCCACTTTTGGAGAGACACTTTGTGTGCCCCCCGCAGCCAGAGGAGCTGGCTCTGCTCCCCGGACGAGTTCTGTGCTCCAGCCCCATTGATTCAGGCAGCCCTGCACCTGCTTGCCCCCCTTGCACATGCCCCTGCCCCTGAGAGTCTGGCTGGGTGTGGGGCTGGGAGTGGGGATACTGAGCCGGGCAACTCACCTGCTACCACCAGCTCCACGGGGTCACTGGGATGTGACCAGATGAGCGGGTTCCAATGGCTGTAATAATAGCAGCCATAGCTCCCTGCGTCTCTCCAGCTCACGTTGCGAATGAGAAAGTCAGCTAGGTCCCAACGAGGCTCCACGTCCTGCAGCATGTTCGGGTTTCCATCTTTGTACAGAAGGAACCTCATGTTCTGGTACCAATGCCAATGCCAATGCCAACCCCAACACTGGACGGTCACGGCTCCCCCCAGGGGGACCACCCCACTGGGGCTCAGCAAGATGGAGGGTTTGGGGTAGCTGAGCTCTGCAGTGAGAAGAGACAGGCCGTGAGACAGACCCCGGCACAGTCACTGCGTCCCGTCCTTACCACACGGTCCCAGAGACGGGGCCCCTGGGGGAAAACCCAGCCAGAGGAACCTCTCCGAGATCCCAGAGATTCCTGGGAGCTACGCCCGAAACTGCCTGAAATCCAGAGCACCCCTCTGTACCCTGTACCTGTCTATCTACCTAAATGGGCCCAGAATTTCCCCACAATAGCAGGACCATTCTCCCGCTTACATTAGGAGCGGGGTCAGTGGCAGCCCTGCCCGTCCATCCGGAGAGTGAAACGGACCGGTTCCTCCCCCAAAGCCGGGCTGGGAGTCAGGACGCCTGGATTCTATCCCTGGCTCTGGGAGGGGAGTGGGGTCTAGTGGTTAGATTGGGAGGGGGCTCAGAGTCAGAGGTGCTGGGTGCTGCACAGACACCGTGAGAAAAGGCCCCCGCCCTAAAGCCAAGTCCTGACGATCTAACCAGCCACAAGGTGCAGGAGGGACGATTATCCCCCATTCACACAAGAGGAAATGGAGGCACAGGCAGGTTAAGTGACACCCCAAGGAGTGTCCCACCTGCCCAGAGACCCCCATGACAGTCTGGCTGGGTGTGGGGCTGGGAGTGGGGACGCCGAGCCAGGCCCCTCACCTACAATAATGTCCTACTACAGGAATGGCTGCATTGTGCATCAGGGCCCAGGGAACCTGACTGCAGGGGCCTCAGTGAACCGGCCAGAGAGGGGGCTCAGCAGGGGAGGGGAGGGTTACCATACGTCTGGATTTTCCCAGACATGTCCGGCTTTTTGGTCCTCAAATCCCCGTCCAGGGGGAACTGCCAAAAAGCCGACACGTCCGGGAAAATACTCCCAGCTTTGTTTTGCCGGCATCCCTGCCCCACTCCCCTGCTTACCTTAGAGCGGCTCCAACAGGCTGCGAGCTGCAGGCGGATTCCCCCGCGGCGGCTGCTGCTGCTCCCCCCAGACACCTCAGCTCTGTGTAGCTGAAGAGCCGAGCTGCCCGAGCGCTACCGGCTTCACGGTTTGCCAGGCAGCCCCCAGACTTCCAGCCCCTGCGCCCCCTGGGTCGGGACAGTTTCCCAGCGCAGCCGGAGTACGGGAGGGGAAGTGTGCCCCCGGCTGGGGGCGCAGGGTCTGGAGTTTGGAGGCTGCCCGGCAAACCATGAAGCCGGTAGCACTCGGGCAGCTGTTTCACGTGGCTGGGAGAGAGGAGGGGGAATGCAGGGCGCTCAGGGGAGGGGGCGGAGTTGGGGCGGGGACTTTGGGGAAGGGGCGGAGAAGGGGCGGAGTTGGGGCAGGGGCCAGGGCCCCGTGGAGTTCCTCTTTTTTTAATGTTTAAATATGGTAACCCTAGGGGAGGGTGCCCAGGTGATGGAGCAACCCCGCACTCCCTGGGGGCAGGACCCAGGGCGAGGGGGTGGGGGGTGAAGAGGGTGCTAAGCCCCTGCCTGGGGGTTGCTGTGGAACCTGCAGATTCGGGGTGGGAACATGCTGGATATTACTTTCCCCCCCCCCCCAGTCCAGAGCTTAGCTGAGGGGCGGAGAGGCTTCCCCGTGCTAGCGCTGTGCGGGGCTGTGGCCAGGGCTGACGAGAGTGGGGGGAAGCCGGTACAAATTACTGGGGCCGGGTGGTCTGGAAGGGGGCCCGGGGCCTGGCTTTCCCGGCTTCCCCCACATCTCATCGGCCCTGTTTAGCTGGTCCACCCTTGCTGGGCAGCCTCCCTCCAAACTCTACCAGCCGTTTCCACCAGGAGCACTGGGGGTGGGGGAGGAGCTGCTGGCTGCTGTCCCTCGCTGTTTTCTTTCTCTCCCCACAACAAAAAATCCCGCCCCAGGCTCGAGCTCCCCCCACTGCCGCTGCCCAGGAATCCTTGGGGGTCTCCCCACAGCTGTTGTTTCCAGGCTGCTTCTGAGCAGCCAACGTGTGCAGCTCCCACAGCTCTTTAACCCGACAGCCCCCAGCCCCGGTGGGCATCACACAGCCAGCCCTGGAATGCAGGCACAGGTGGGGGGCGGGACTGGCTGGGCAGCACCTGGGCCCAACTCCTCTGTGCGCCCCCAGAGGGGGAAGGCTGGGGCAGCATCACCCTGGCAAAGGCCCCTGCTCTGCAGCTCCCTCTGGGGCAGGGATCCCCCCTCCCTCAGCCTTGAACCTTCAGCAGCTGCTGCTGCCCCTTGCTGGGGAACCCACCATTAATTCCGTCCCTGCCCCCCAGCCGGGCGTCCCCTCTGCTGGGCCCAGGGCTCAGGGCAGAGCCTGGCTCTGAGAGCCCCATTGGTGCAGAGACCCCCTGATCAGGGGCATGAACAGGAATAAAAATGTGGCCGCTTTTGGAGAGACACTTTCTGTGCCCCCCGCAGCCAGAGGAGCTGGCTCTGCTCCCCGGAGGAGTTCTGAGCTCGGGTCCCATTGATTCAGTCGGCCCTGCACCTGCTTCCCCCTTGCACATGCCCCTGCCCCTGAGAGTCTGGCTGGGGGTGGGGCTGGGGGTGGGGATACTGAGCCGGGCCCCTCACCTGCTACCACCAGCTCCACGGGGTCACTGGGATGTGACCAGATGAACGAGTACCAATAGTGGTGATAATAGCAGCTGTAGCTCCCTGCGTCTCTCCAGCTCACGTTGCGAATGAGAAACTCAGCCAGGTCCCCAGCAGGCTCCGCGTCCTGCAGCGTGGTCAGGTTCCCATCTTTGTACAGAAGGAACCTCATGTTCCAACCCCAACCCCTACACCAGACAGTCACAGCTCCCCCCAGGGGGACCCCCCCGCTGGGGCTCAGCGAGATGGAGGGTTTGGGGTAGCTGAGCTCTGCAGTGAGAAGAGACAGGCCGTGAGACAGACCCCAGCACAGTCACTGCGTCCCGTCCTCACCGCACGGTCCCAGAGACAGGGCCCCTGGGGGAAAACCCAGCCAGAGGCACCTCTCCGAGGTCCCAGAGATTGCTGGGAGCTACGCCCGAAACTGCCTGAAATCCAGAGCACCCCTCTGTACCCTATACCTGTCTATCTACCTAAATGGGCCCAGAATTTCCCCACAATAACAGGACCATTCTCCCGCTTACACTAGGAGCGGGGTCAGTGGCAGTCCTGACGATCTAACCTGCCACAAGGTGCCCGCAGGATGAATATCCCCCATTCAGACAAGGGGAAATGGAGGCACAGGCAGGTTAAGTGACACCCAAGGAGTGTCCCACCTGCCCAGAGACCCCCATGACAGTCTGGTTGGGTGTGGGGCTGGGAGTGGGGACGCCGAGCCAGGCCTCTCACCTACAACTATGTCCTACTACAGGAACGGCTGCATTGTGCACCAGGGCCCAGGGAACCTGACTGCAGGGGCCTCAGTGACCCCGGCCAGAGAAGGGGCTCAGCAGCGGAGGGTGCCCAGGGGACAGAGCAGCCCCGCGCTCCCTGGGGGCAGGACCCAGGGAGAGGGGCTGGGGGGTGAAGAGGGTGCTAAGCCCCTGCCTGGGGGGGTGCTGTGGAACCTGCAGATTCAGGGTGGGAACAGGCTGGAAATCACTTTCCTCCCCCTTCACCCCCACCTGAGCTTAGCTGAGGGGCAGAGAGGCTTCCCCATGCCAGTGCTGTGCGGGGCTGTGGCCAGGGCCGACAAGGGGCAGGAAGCCGATACAAATTACCCGGGCCTGGCAGTCTGGAAGGGGGCCCGGGGCCCGGCTTCCCCCATCTTGTCGGCCCTGTTTAGCCGGTCCGCCCCTTGCTGGAGGACCCGAAAATTTTTTTCACCGGGGCTTGAACCCGCTCTTGGCAGCCCTAGCTGTGGCACACCCAGGGCTCGGCTCCTCCTGGCCAGTGCCCCAGGCCGGAGGGTCTTGGGCTTTCCCGGATGGTGTCCCAGCCAGAGGCAGTGGGGGGAGGAAGGGAGGAGCCTGCCGGCCAGGTTGTGGGTGAGCTGAGCGCTCCGACCAGGGGCTGGGTCTCCCCACAGCGCTGGGTTGGGCTGCGCCCCGCTGGGGGGGATATGGAGGTGCAGCCGGGCTCCGGGGGAGGTGAAGGGGCAAAGCAGGGAGAGGACAGTGAGAGGGGGTGACATTAAGGGCCGATGGGTGGGCAGCAGAGGTGACACGTCACCGGCCGCTGCCTGGCACCTGCCTGCACCCACCAGCCCCCGCAGCTTGCGCCGGGTGGAAATGGGATGGGGGGCAGGGCCCTGCTGGCGAGGAGATGGCATGAAGTGACTCTATTGGCCGCTGTAGCTCCCTGCATCTCCCCGGTCTGTGGGGCCCCCGTGGTGGGGCTGTGCGTTGGGGGGAAGCTCTCCCAGGCCCTGTCCCCTCTAAGCCAATCTGGCATCTGTCCAGTGACACCCCCCGGCATATGAAATGAGTCCGTGGGCAGTGTTCAGATGGGGCATTCACTGTGGGGATCTGCCCCCATCCCACTCAGCCATCTGTTTGTGACTCCCCCCCGGGGGCGGCTCCTTGGGCTTCACAAACCTCTTTCTGGGAGAGTTGATGTCGAATACCTGCCCCCAGCACTGGTACCTGGCTCTGCACTGCTTGAAAAGTTGGGAGCTGGCATGGTTGTCATGTGAGGCAGGTCAGTTCCCCCTGCGGGAATAGAACCAGCGTCTGTTAAGGGCAGGGCCTGGGGGTGAGAAAGCTGGAGCCCTGGTGTCTGTGGTTAGTTATACAGGGACCCCCTCTCCCAGTCGGCCATGGTGGCTCTTCCCCTGGGGAGAGGACGGGACCCAGGGATTCGGGCCGGCTCAGCACCCCCGGGATCCCAGAACGGGGAGGATCGGCCCAGTGACACCCGCAGCAGGGGTTGCGCTGATGGACTAGCAGGGGAGCTGCCAGCTCCACACACTGCATCTTTGCCCCACCACCAGCCTTGCACACCCACCGCGTCATCTGTCATTGGACTCCGCCGCTCACCATTGGTGGGCAGACGGCTGGCGAGCAGGGATCCGGCCAGTACTGATGGGGGGAGACAAAACATACAGGACAATTTGCCTGTTTTTCAGAAAAAGTCAGGACAGCTGCAGGAGGGTTAAATATAGGACTGTCCCTTTAAAAACTGGTTCAGGACTCACCCCCGACTGCACTGGGGGCAGGGCCAGGTTCTGATCTCAGCCCCCTGGGATCAATACAAGGAGGTTGAACTGATTTTGGGGGTAAAGGTTCAGGTCTCAGCTCCTCTTTTCCACTCCCCTTTTCTCCCTCCCCGTCTGATTCCTGAACACGATAGTTTCCCCTGCTCCACAAATACTCACAACCTGACACCTCGCTCTGCCCGGCCAGCCAGCAGCCTGGAGAGGAGATGGGTCATTAGGGACCAGATCCCAGAGCAACTGGATCCTACACCCTGGTCTCAGATCCCCTCCGCGCCCCCCGGACACACGCCCTGGTCTCATATCCCCCGCATGGACACATGCTCTGGTCTCAGATCCCCCCTCCTCCTCGCATGGACACATGTCTTGGCCTCACATCCCCCACCCCCATGGACACACACCCTGGTGTCAGATCCCCCCTCCATGGACACATGCCCTGGCTGTCTCAGAAACTCACTGAGGATGAGGACGAGGAGAGCAGATGCCATGACGGGAACAGCAAGGGGCCCCTCAGGGTTGCCTCCAACACCCGGTGTCCAGCTCCACTGAGCCCTGAATGAGGAACTCAGCTGGTGGCTCCAGCTACAGGAAGTCGATGATCTCGCATCTCTTCCTGCGTCTATCATACATTGTCTCTAATGTGCAGGTGAAATCTACAGAGGTCAGAGTAAGCAGAGGGCTTTGCAAAACCCCAAAACCCCAGGGACTGTCAGCCTGGCCAAGCATCATGCAGCTCCCAGCTTGTGTGTGTCTCTGTGGAGAGGGGGGACAGGTCACCCTCAACCTATCCTGCAGCCTTGAGAAAGATGCATCAGGCTGAGAGCCGGGCGAACATGGGGTCTGGTCTTCAATCTTCCACTGACCACAATTTCCATGAAAATTCCATCCCCTTTTCATTCTGGGTTCAAGCCTGGCTGGTGAGCCATGTCACTTTCTGTCCGGATGGGCAGGGCTGCTGCTGACCCCGCTCCTAGTGTAAGTGGGGGAATGGTCCTGCTATTGTGGGGAACTTTCCTGGCTTATATATACCCCGGTGGGATTGGCTAGAGAAAGAATCTGAGTCCTCGCTCCCACTCTCTTTACCCAGAGGCCTGCCTGACCTCGAGGGCTCCCCTTCCTCCCTCCCGTGCAACAGAGTCCTTGTAACCTCAGCAAGGCTGGGCCCGGATCCCTGGGAGCTCGACCCTCAGTATTGTCATGGTCACTTAGGACAGGGGCGAGGGTGTCCCCACTCTGGGGCACTCTCTTTGCACCGGATGCTTCCCTGACCCACTGATCATTACACAGAGTTCAAAGCACGTACAATTTATTAAACAGCAACTCATAGAAAATACGTAAAAATGGGGAAGGATAAAGGAAACAAGACACCCACCCTGTGGGCACGGAAACACCAGAAACAGCCGCCTCCGCAAGGGACAGGAAGTTCACAGTCTGTTCCTCTCACATCCCAGGTCTCTTTCCCAGGCCCAGGCCATGCCGCCGGTGATAACACAGGGTGACAATCTGTACCTCAAACTGAGTCCCACCCCTCTCTGCCTGCAAACCATTGGAAAAACAAGAAAAAAATGAGAAACCCCCCCACTTTGTCACAATGTGCTACCCTTGTATGGGAAGTTCTGAAGCATTGCTCTGTGTGCTACTGAAATATGTTCTGAGGTTGGGAGATGCCCACAGCCAACCTTTCAACTGCAAGAGAGGACCAGCCAGATACAGTTAATGGCTCATCCACACCCCTCAAGGAAAGAATCCACTATCCCAGTGACTATGTGCAATGGAGATTGTTGGACGAATGGGGACTGCCTGATCCCTGGGTCAGAGCAAAGATCTTTCCAGCAAACTTTAAAAAAAATATAAAAGAGGGGAAGGGACATAATCCCTGGGCTTCTCTTCCCCACAACGTAACACTTGGAGGAACATCTGGAGGACAAAGACTTTGCACTGGGGAAGGGTGGCCCCACGCTGGAATGGAGTCCAGTCTGTGTATTGAGGATCTGTAACCTGCTTGTCCCATCTGACGGGGGAGACACTGCCTGATTCAAATCCTGTTTCGTTTGTAGAACTTAGACTGTGAATATATTTTTATTTCTTAAGCAACCAACTCTGATCTCTGCACCAGCTCCTTATAACCACTTATAATCTCTCCTTCTGCAGTTAATAAATCTGTTTTATATTTGACCTAAAACAGTGTGTTTTGGTTGAAGTGGTTGGGAAATCTCAGCTCAGTACCGTTCTTTGGCACTGGGAGCTGGGCAACCAAAACCCCCACAACGTGTCAGTGAGGGGCCAACACTCCCCTCACATTAGCAAACGGACAGATGGGAGGCTGGGGAGAGACAGGATGGAAATGGGGGTGAAATGCAGCTTCTGGGGATGGTGTCAGGCGCTGGACATGGGTTAGTGACAAGCGGGTGCGTTGGCTGGGAAGGTGACTCCGACCCCTGCTGCTCGGACCCTGGGTGGTTACAATCCCGGCAGGGCCGGTCCTGTGTTGGGTCCGGTCTCTTTATGCAGGGCAGGCGGGGTGGGTGCCACACACCCGACTGCAGCATCCAATGGAAAGCCAGGAGTGTGAGCTAGGAGAGGAGGCAAGACAGAGTAGGGCAGAAAATAACCCAACCAGGGAAGGGAAAAGGATCTCCAGGGCCTTCGCGGCGCTGCTAATCACCTATCCCCACGGGCGAGATGGGGGTGTGGGCCCAGATGCCCCCAGATAGGGTTGCCAACTGTCTAATCATTGAAACCCAAACAGCTATCCCACAGTTCCCGCAGTCTCCGCTGCCCATTGGAATTCTGGGTTGAGATGCCAATGCCTGATGGGTCAAAAACAGTGTCGCGGATGGTTCTGGGTACATGTCATCAGGCCCCCGCTCTCTCCCTCCATGAAAGCAACAGCGGACAATTGTTTCGAGCCTTTTTCCCTGGGTTACCAGTGCAGATCCCATACTATGGCAAGCATGGAGCCCGCTCAGCTCACTGTCACTATATGTCTCCTGGGTGCTGGTAGACGTGGTACTGCATTGCTACACAGTAGCAGCTCATTGCCTTTTGACAGCAGACGGTGCATTACAACTGGTAGCCGTCATCGTCATCTCCTGGGTGCTCTTTTAGCCGACCTCGGTGAGGTCGGTCAGGGGCGCCTGGGCAGACATGGGAGTGACTCCAGGTTGTTCTCTTTTGAAGTTTCGTCTCATGGAGATTCAGTCCTGTCTGCAGTTGTACTGTGAGCAGCCAAGACGACGATGACTAGCAGTGATACTACACCGTCTGCGGCCAGCCTAAGATGTATAAGAGAGATGGAGTGGATCAAAAAAAGAAAAAGACCAGATTTGTTTTGTAGTCATTTGCTCCCTCCTCCCTCTCTCTGTGCATAGTGGGGGGAGGGATAGCTCAACCGTTTGATCACTAGCCTGCTAAACCCAGGGTTTTGAGTTCAATCCTTGAGGGGGCCATTCTGTGTGACAGTTGTGTGTGTTTCTCCTTGATGCAAACCCACCCCCTTTGTTGATTTTAATTCCCTGTACGCCATGTCATCAGTCGCCTCTCCCTCCATCAGAGCAATGGCAGACAATCATTTCGTGCCTTTTTTCAGCGGAGACACCATAGCACGGCAAGCATGGAGCCCGCTCAGATCACCGCGGTAATTATGAGCAGTGTAAACACCACACCCATTATCCTGCAGTAAATGCAGAACCAGAACCTGCAAAAGCAAAACCAGGTGAGGAGGCGACGGCAGCGCGGTGACGAGAGTGATGAGGACATGGACACAGACTTCTTACAAAGTACGGGCCCCGGCAACATGCACATCATGGTGTTAATGGGGCAGGTTCATGCTGTGGAATGCCGATTCTGAGCCCGGGAAACAAGCACAGACTGGTGGGACCACATAGTGTTGCATGTCTGGGACGATTCCCAGTGGCTGCGAAACTTTCGCATGCATAAGGGCACTTTCATGGAACTTTGTGACTTGCTTTCCCCTGCCCTGAAGTGCAAGAATATCAAGATGAGAGCAGCCCTCACAGTTCACAAGCGAGTGGCGATAGCCCTGTGGAAGCTTGCAATGCCAGACAGCTACCGGTCAGTCGGGCATCAATTTGGAGTGGGCAAATCTACTGTGGGGCCTTCTGTGTTCCAAGTAGTCAACGTAATCAAAGAGCTGCTGATATCAAGGGTAGTGACTCTGGGAAATGTGCAGGTCATAGTGGATGGCTTTGCTGCAATGGGATTCCCTAACTGTCGAGGGGCGATAGACGGAACTCAGATCTGTGAGAGTAAGGGGGAGAGGTTTATGGTGGGGTGGGAGGTTGAGGCAAATTGCCTGGCTGCTGATTATGTGCAGCCAGACACCAGGGCGATTAGAAGAGCACACCAGGAAGCGCTGTGCATCAGAGAAGCTTTGAAAACCAGTTTCATGACTGGCCAGGCTAGAGTGTGAAATTTCTGTTTGTTTCTCCTTGATGAACCCCCCACCCCTTGGTTCACTCTACTTCCCTGTAAGCTAACCACCCTCCCCTGCCCCCTTCGATCACCATTTGCAGAGGCAATAAAGTCATTGTTTCTTCACATTCATGCATTTTATATTAATTCATCACACAAATAGGAGGATAACTGCCAAGGTAGCCCGGGAGGGCTCGGGGAGGAGGGAAGGACAAGGCCACACTGCACTTTGAAACTTATTGAATGCCTGCCTTCTGTTGCTTGGGCAATCCTCTGGGGTGGAGTGGCTGGGTGCCCGGAGGCCCCCCCACCGCGTTCTTGGGCGTCTGGGTGAGGAGGCTATGAAACTTGGGGAGGAGGGTGGTTGGTTATACAGGGGCTGTAGCGGCGGTCTGTGCTCATGCTGCCTTTCCTGAACCTCAACCATACGCCGGAGCATATCAGTTTGTTTCTCCAGGAGACTCACTGTTGCCTCTTGCCTTCTGACGCCACCTATCATCTTCAGCCTGCCACTTATTATCTTCAGCCCGCCACCTGTCCTCGTGTTCATATTGTGCTTTCCTGGACTCTGACATTGTCTGCCTCCACGCATTCTGCTGTTCTCTTTCAGTGCGGGAGGACTGCATGAGCTCAGAGAACATTTCATCGAGAGTGCATTTTTTTTGCCTTCTAATCTTCGCTAGCCTCTGGGAAGGAGAAGATAGTGTGAGCGTTGAAACATTTGCAGCTGATGGAGGAAAAAAGGGAAAGTGGTAGTTAAAAAGACACATTTTAGAGAACAATGGGTAGACTCTTTCACGATAAACCTTGCTGTTAACATTACATAGCACACGTGCTTTCGATACAAGGTCGCATTTTGCCTCTTATTGAGGGTATGCCAGTTTGGTGTGTGAGATCACTCATGCAGGGCCAGGCAACAGAATTCAGCTTGCAGGCAGCCATGGTAAGACACAGTCTTTTGGCTTCTTTAACATTCACAACATGTGGGAATGGTTTCAAACAGCAGTGCCCTCATTTCCCATACCAAGCGGCCGTTGGGTTGGCCATTTAAAATGGGCTGGTAATTTAAAAGGAGGGGCTGTGCTTTTCGGGTTAACATGCAGCAC